TGTTAATAAGTTAAAAAATATTTCTCTATATGTTTATAAATTATTGAAACTAAATATGCCATTGAGATTTTCAAGAAATATTTCAAATATCTTCGAATGAAATCTGCAAGAAATCTTAAAAAATCTGTCGCTTGAGATACTTAGCGAAGAATACGAAGAAATATTTAGAAATTATTCTATGCTACTAGGGTACTGTCTTACACTTATGTAATATTCTACCTTAACTTCTTAACTGCGGAATTTACTGTAACGTTACGGATTGCGGACGTGTATACACGTCGAACGCAGTTAACTAGTAAAGCACGTTAATCGTAAACGTAAAGTTCCCTAGTAGCATAGAATCATTTCTAAATATTTCATTGTATTCTTTACTAAATATTTCAAGCGACTGATTTTTTAAGACTTCTCGTAAATTTCATTCGAAGATATTTGAAATATTTCTTGAAAATCTCAATGACATATTTAGTTTCAATAATTCATAAACATATAGAGAAATATGTTAAATATATAGAAAATATAGAACAAATATTTTGTGGTACTAGGGTTGTTCCTTGCAATGTACTGCAAATTTTTATACAGGTTATTATGTCATAAATTAGACTATTTGTACAGCAGTCTTGACACTGACTGGCCTACTGTTGATCAGGAAATATCGTTGATTCGGATTCTCGAATCGGGAAGAAACATCGGATGCACCACGACCTGTCTTCTGGGAATTGGGTGTCGAAAAAAACACAAGCTGATGAGAGAGGCAATCTCCAGGACCATGGGGCCCTTCGAAAGAAAAGTCAGGAAACCTTCCAAGAAAAGGTTAAATTACCATTCCTAACGAACATAAACTCGGAAAGGGCTTCAGATGATGTACAGCTATATTACCCCTAGTGATATTCCCATCGTTTTGGCATAGAAGCGCATACAACCAATGAAATCTACGAGACATCTTAAGAAATCTGTCGCTTGAGATATTTAGCAAAGATTGTAAAAATATATTTAGAAATTATTCTGTGCTACTAGGGTCGGGACATTTTCCGCCAATGATTCATCTTTTCATTATTCATTTTTCGACAGGGCTTCGCAAATGGCTCGGTGCACCAGGAAGGTCTAAATCCTAGAATGGACTCCAGAATTCCAGTCCCGTATTCGCGAGATCGTAACTTCAAGGATACGACTTCTTTAGAAAACGACAGCACGCGCAGTAGCGTCGCTGAGGTTTCTGGAAGTCGCAGTAAAACTACTCCCAGTTTCGCTTCTAAAATAGAAGTGCGAAATGGCCAAGACAATGCTTACATTAAATTACATTTACCTGAGAACAATGCAGGGTATGGTTATCCATTTCTTTACTTCCAATAATTCACATGATTTTAGGATCTATGCATTAGAGTACAAAAATTAAATTTACCTGAGAACAATGCAGGGTATGGTTATCCTTTTCTTTACTTCCAATAATTCACATGATTTTAAGATCTATGCATCAGAAAACAGAATTTAGAGATAAGAATTTTTCAATCTAGGGAAGTTAAACAAAATGAAAGTACAAAAATTAAATTTATCTGAGTAACAATGCAGGGTATGGTTATCCTTTTCTTTAATTCCAATAATTCACATGATTTTAAGATCTATGCATTAGAGTACAAAAATTAAATTTACCTGAGAACAATGCAGAATGTAGTTATCCTTTCCCTTAATTACAATAATTCACATGATTTTAGGATCAATGCATCAGAAAACAGAATCAAGAGATAGGAAATTTTCATTCTAGGGAAATTAAACAAAATGAAAGTACAAAAATTAAATTTACCTGAGAACAATGCAGGGTATGGTTATCCTTTCCTTTAATTCCAATAATTCACATGATTTCGGATCTATGCCTCAGAAAAAAGAATCTAGCGATAGGAATTTTTCAATCCAGGGAAATTAAACAAAATCAAAGTAAAAAACCAATCGGACTATTGTTTCTCTGCAAGTCATCTCGAATTTACAAGGCGCTAAATTATTTCAGCATATTTAATTAAGAACCGTTGTTATTTGGAGATTTTATTTCTTTTCGAATTTGTAATCCAGGCTTTGCGCGAAATCGGAAAAATTTTAGAATATAATCTTTACGGAATAGTTCCTAGTTTTATTAGTTATTTACCAAGTCATATTGTTATTGGAAGAACTTTTTGCCTGCAGATACGGAAGTATTTATCAGCGGAAGAGAAGACTAGCGGAGGAAACTAATTTCCTGAATTCTGGTTCTGACAATACGAGGGCACAGACCATTGAATCAAGTCATCCAAAATTGCACAATTCTTCGTATCTAACACCTGGTCTCATTGTCAGTGAATTGCCGGTATGTAAAATTGTTAATAAATATTATACACCTTTCAGTTGATTGATTTTAACAAACGGAGATACGAAACCATCCTAATTTATTGCACTGATAAGAAAAGCGGTAACATTAGCAAGTTTCAAGCAGCAATTTCTATCTCCATTCCGAAGGATTTAAGGTGAAGTGAAAACCTCTTCAAATCAGTCGATTCGAATACAACACTTTTTTAAGAGTATTAGACCAAACTGTCCGAAACTGCCCCATCTAAGAATCATCTAAGATCATCTAAGAATTGTCCTGACACATTCAAAATTTGGATTTTTGAACAAAATTTTTTAACTTAGCCCAGACCGGAACTAAAATGGTGTCAAGCTCTCATATTTCGATCAATATACACTTATCGAAGGCTCTGATATGTGAAACGAAAGGGTCAGGACAATTTTACGACAATTTAGAACACTCTGGTAATCGATAAACTCGCATTTGAACGAGATAAAGGCAACAAAAGTGTTGTATGCGTTTCTATGCTAAAACTATGGGAACACGAGGTCTCGGAGTGTAAATTTATTTGACCTAGAAATCACAGATGGCGCAGGGGGTCCCTCTGCAAGTTAATTAGGGCTCCAGAAAGCATGAATCCAGAGGATTTCTGGAGTTTTACTTCGATTTCTTTATAATTAATGTATGAAAACGGCAGGTGTACTATGCCATTTAGTACAATACCCAATATAATTCGACCCAGCTGTCAATATAAAAACGAACGTCGGCAACGTAGGTATTTAGAAAAATCTTCTTCACCGACGTCGATCAAGTTCCTCGACGTGTTTCACTTCGCATTAATAAGCGTCGTAATTATTGTAAAGTTGCATTATATAGTTCTTTGTTGTATTATTGTTTGTTTTTTTTGTTGTATTATTTTTTGTTAACTCGTATTGTGAATCGTGGATACGGGAGAAATATACGAGAATTTAAGTTATCTGTAAAAAGGAGAGTGATATGAGAGAGAGCGCCTACGTTGTCGACGTTCGTTTTTATATCGACAGCTGGGTCGAATTATATTGGGTATTGTACCAAATGGCATACTCCACCTGTCGTTTTCGTACAACAATTGTAAAGAAATCGAAGTAAAACTCCAGAAATCCTCTGTATTCATGCTTTCTGGGGCCCTAATTGTCTGCAGAGGGACCCCCTGCGCCATCTGTGATTTCCAGGTCAATTAAATTTTCACATCGAGACCTTGTATTCCCATCGTTTTGGCATAGAAGCGCATACAACCCTTTTTTTGCCTTTAATCCCGTTCAAATTCGAGTTTATCGATTACCAGAGTGTTCTAAATTCTCGTAAAATTGTCCTGACCATTTCGATTCTCATATCAGAGCCTTCGATAATTGTATATTGATCGAAATATGAGAGCTTGACACCATTTTAGTTCCGGTCTGGGCTAAGTTAAAAAATTTTGTTAAAAAATCCAAATTTTGAATGTGTCAGGTCAATTCTTAGATGATCAGGAGTGATGTGTCTAAGTTCCGGACAGTTTGGTCTAATACCCGTAAAAAAAAGTGTTGTATTCGAATCAACTGATTTGAAGGATGTTTCACTTCACCTTAAGTTTATCTTTTTTTCTGCAGTTAACCTGGAATGCCATCCTTGTCTTAGAATTTGTTTTTCCATTATCAAAAGTTGAATGTATGAAATATCCGTTAGTCATAAAAATTCAATGGAACTCTCTAATTATTCTGGGGCGATATCAAGAAGAAGTTGCCTTTCGTGACGGCTAGATGCGGATCGATAGACCCTGACCCTAACTTTCTCAAGAAGTATATTTCAAACAGGGTGATCCTACTGGCAGAAAGCAAGATTCCGTCGACGTGGACACACAACATTACCGAACAATAAGCAAATCCTCGAGAAACTCCAACGAAGGACTTGGAAGGTATCACCCAAGCTTTGGGGAACATCGCCATGAAATAATGAAACACACAGTTCAGCACGTTTTTCCAGTTCGAGATACGTAAGTTAACAATCAATAAGCACTACCATTTCAAAGGTAATTTTCTATTTCTTAATATTCAATTCAGTGCATTCCGTAAAATTATCAAGTCCTCGAAAAGTAATTCTCCTTATTTGTAAAATTCCGTAAACAGTTTGTTTTATAATATTTGATTTCTGTTACTTGTACTAAAATCTCTAGTACTCAGAAGAAATGTAATACTTTTTACGTAGTCCAAGCAGTGTCATAAGAAGTGATTCTAATAGTTCCTGAAAGAAAGTTAATAAATCAGAGACGTGTCAAACGTGAAATGTTCTCATCTATTCTCTTCTTAAGGTGAAGTGAAACCCCCTTCAAATCAGTCGATTCGAATACAACACTTTTTTTTAAGGGTATNTTTGGCATAGAAGCGCATACAACACTTTTTTTGCCATAAAAACGTACGTCAGCAACGTAGGCATTTAGAAAACTCTTCTTTATCGACGTCGATCAAGTTCCTCGACGTGTTTCACTTCACCTTAAGAGAAAAATTATTTCAATTTATAACAAACGATGAATCGAAATAAATAAGTGTTTATTGTGTTTGTTTAATGATCGCTTATTTAAAGTGACTTTTTTAAAGATATGGAATGATATATCAACGTCAAAAGCGACTTGCAGAACAAGTTTCGTCGAAGAGGAACATTGAAGATCGTAACCGAAATATGGCGGCACAAGTAAGTGTTTAACCAAAAATAAGTCCTCTTAAATGACGACAGACTTTCCTACAATTGAGCCGCTCAGTGCACACATCGACTAACTCCACTTTTTGAGAAATCTTAAATTTAGGTGTCAAAGCACTTGGTATAGTCATAACTTTTTATATTTATAATGTCTTTCCTGATTAATAGAGATNCATAAGCACGGTCAAAACTGCATACCACTACAATATCTATAAGAAAAATACGACGAAAACACACGGAGGTAATATTATATAAATATTATAGAAATAATATTCTAAAGTAAACGTTTTGCAAATATTTCAAATATCTGGTAAATATTTACAAAATGTACGATATTCGTTACATATATAGAAAATATAGGACAAATATTTTGTGCTACGAGGGCGTGTTAGAGCGAAACTGTATTATAGGATACCGTGTTGTAGGGCTACTTGTATATTAAAACTTCCTATGAATTTTAAAACATGAAATTGAAATGTATTTCATGTTTCTTTCCGATGTTTTGTTTTCCTTACTTCTCAGAGAAAGGAAGGATCCCAGGAATTTTCGGAAAGGAGTCGATCTATGATGAAAACTCAAACGGGCAGTTTCGAAACTCCTAACAGTCCGAGTAGACGAGTTTTACGATCCGCCTCACCTGCTGGGAATTTCAATCGCGAAAGATTCTTCAAACGTGCTTCCAATTACTCCCAGACACCTTCGATATGCGACGAGTGAGTATATACCTTCCAATAAATAATTAAGGTGAAGTGAAACACGTCGAGGAACTTGATCGACGTCGATAAAGAAGATGTTTCTAAATGCCTATGTTGCCGACATTCGTTTTTATATTAACAGCTGTGTTGAATTATATTGGGTATTGTACCAAATGGCATACTCCACCTGTCGTTTTTGTACAATAAATATCAAGAAACCGAAGTAAAACTCCAGAAATCCTCTGGATTCGTGCTTTCCGAAGCCCTAATTGACTGCAGAGGGACCCCCTGCGCCATCTGTGATTTCCAGGTCAATTAAATTTTCCCTCCGAGATCTCGTATTCCCATCGTTTTGGCATAGAAGCGCATACAACACTTTTTTTGCCTTTATCCCGTTCAAATGCGAGTTTATCGATTACCAGAGTGTTCTAAATTGTCGGAAAATTGTCCTGACCCTTTCGTTTCTCATATCAGAGCATTCGATAATTGTACATTGATCGAAATATGAGAGCTCGACGCCATTTTGTTTCTGGCCTGGGCTAAGTTAAACAATTTTTTTCCAAAAATCCAAATTTCGAATGTGTCAGGACAATTCTTAGATGATCAGATGTGTCAAAGTTTCGGACAGTTTGGTCTAATACCCTTGAAAAAAAGTATTGTATTCGAATCAATTAATTTGAAGGGTGTTTCACTTCACCTTAATATACGCACAACATACATCCATTATATGTTCTTTGCATGTAAAGTACTATACGTACAAATTTCTGTTAAATAGAGATATACGTTCACTAAACGTATTTAATTGGTGCAAATTTTGATGTTCTAGTAACATATTTAATACGTATAACGTACATTTAAAATCCAATAGAATATCTTTGACATCCCGTGAACATATATTATACGTATGTTTTTAACTTCTAATATACTGAAACATCCCGTAGCCATGAAAACATTCTATATACGTATAATAGAGCTTTTGTTCCGTGTGGGCTGTTTGTCATTTTGTTTTTATTGAAACTGTTTAGTTTGGATTCACAATCAGTGGCCTAAAAAACCGTTCAATACTAAATTTCAACTAAATTCAATGTATTTTTTTAAAACCTCCGCCATATTGAATCCGGAATTCTTTCTTATGTTGACATCGAATCCGTAATCAGCGACTTCATTAATGCTCGAGTAGCGAATTTCAACAGAATTGGAAAACGTCTTCTACTTTTGGACAGCTTTTTGGAATTTGGCCCCACAATGCGCCGCAAAGATATGTCAAGTGAAAAACAGATCCTTTTTTCTTGCGTTTATTTTTAGGAACTCTAAAGATAAATATTCTTCCTTACTCAGCTCGATAACTTTACCGTTGAGTAGGAGTTGTCACGACTATTGATTCTGAAATTTCCATTGAGGAAATTGAAAGCAATTTTTCATTCTTGGGAAACATATTCCCTGGACGCGCGTATCGCTCTTTTTCTCTTCTTCTTATTTTAAATACCAATTCATTTAATGTACTGAGCAAAAATAACGTTGTAACTTGTAGTAGCCTCGAGAAATGAAAAGAATACTTATTTAAGGTGATGTGAAAATGGCATCGAAGAGATTTTGTATATACAACTTTTCTCCCAACTCGATTTATCAAATAGTTTGAAACTTTACAACGTGAATAGGGAGCATATAAGGAAGGTCCTGAAACTCATGAAATTTCAATTCTCTTCAAATTTGTTTCTGGGTATTTTAAAAATAGTTTATAAAAAATGAAATTTCGCGAGTTTCAGGACCTATCTTAGGGTCTCCATATTCACGTTTCGAAGTAGGAAACGATTTGAAACATCCAGTTCGTAGAAAAGTGTTATGAACGATTGAGCTTACGGATGCCACTTTCACATCCCCTTAAGTTGATGTAAAAGTGGCATCGAAGAGATTTTGTTTATAAAACTTTTCTCCCAACTCGGTTTACCGAATAGTTTGAAACTTTACAACGTGAATGGGGAGACTATAAGGAAGGTCCTGAAACTCATGAAATTTCAATTCTTTTCAAATTTGTTCATAGGTATTTTAAATATAGTTTATAAAAATGAAATTTCGCGAGTTTCAGGACCTATCTTAGGGTCTCCATATTCACGTTTCGAAGTATGAAACGATTTGAAACATCCAGTTCGTAGAAAAGTTTTATGAACGATTGAGCTTTCGGATGCCACTTTCACATTCCCTTAAATACTTTAACAGCTTTTACGAGTGTGCATATAATTTTTGAAAATTCGCGTCTCTCGTGTAACAGCATAGCAGGTGACACGTGGGGATGGAAATTACGGAGAATATTCCGTTTTGTCTCTAGAATAACCAAATAATGGGGTGGCATTATAATTCATGGAATTGTGAAGGGAGAAGGGAAGGGGTAAGCAACGGTCAGCGTCGCAACTTTGCCTTAATATACGACCTTAATATACGCACAACATACATCCATTATATGTATTTTGCAATTGAAATACTACACATACAAATTCCTGTTAAATAGAGATATATTATACGTTTACTAAACGTATTTAATTGGTGCAAATTTTGATGTCCTGGTAACATATTTAATACGTATAATGTACATCTAAAATCCACTAGAATATCTTTGACATCCCGTGAACATATATTATACGTATGTTTTTAACTTCTGATATACTGAAATATCCCGTGAACATGTATTATATGTACGTTTTTAACTTCTGATATACTGAAACATCCCGTAGCCATGAAAATATTCTATATACGTATAATAGAGCTTTAGTTCCGTGTGGGCTGTTTGCCATTTTGTTTTTATTGAAACTGTTTAATTTGGATTCACAATCAGTGGCCTAAAAAACCGTTCAATATTAAATTTCAACTAAATTCAATGTATTTTTCGAAAACTTCTCCGCCAAATTGAATTCGGAATTCTTTCTTATGTTGACATTAAATTCGTAATTAGCGATAAGAAGTAATTAGATTTTATGAGTGTGCATATAATTTTTTTAAATTCGCATCTCTCGTGTAACAACGTAGCAGGTTACACGTGGGGTTGGAAATTACGGAGAATATTCCGTTTTATCTCTGGAATAACCAAATAATGGGGTGGCATTATAATTCGTGGAATTGTGAAGGGAGAAGGGAGGGGGTAAGCAGCGGTCAGCGTCGCAACTTTGCACGCCATGCGGAACGTCAGTTGACTGCGAGCGATCTTGGTATCGACATCGTTGAAAATATAATTTTCCTCAAGTTAAACCTCGACATAAAGAAAGAAGTATTCGTAAACAGTTGTAAATAAGAAACGTGCGACTAATCCAATCTCTCGTAAACATTGGAAGGGCTAGATTAAAAAGAAATCGGTTAAGTGAGTGTAAGTGCGAAAAGGATAAATAATTACGTTCACTTGGTGAAAAACCAAGTAATGGATTCGTTTGTTACTGAGACATATTTATTCCGATATACCAGCGTGGCGAATATACGCGTACGAGCGTTGACGAATTGAATATTTCAGTTACTCTACGAGTAACGATTTGTCGAAGTAATATTATAGTTACACCGCTCTTTGGTAACTGAAATATTGAATTCGTAAACGCTCGTATGCGTCGGAACGTTTGGCCGATCCATTATCGACCATTTCTACTTCCTCGCCGTCCTACCGTCGGCGTTTTCCGCTACATAGCCGATACCTGGCTAGTTGTTTACGTTACTACTCTACAGGTAGACGTTGGCTGAAAGACACTGACTCGAAACTACTGGCACGTTCGATAATTACTACCACGATAATAACGGCCCGTTACGTCCCACCTCAGAACTCCTTCCATTATTTCTCATTTCGTGCAATGATATATACCCAGTGAACACTGTTATATAACTGTTGGGTAAATGTTACGTTTTCGAAACTAACATTTTATGTAGCATAAAAGTAACATGGAAGTTAGATGTTAGTTATTATTTCCCACTCAGTAAGGTAACATGTTATATTAATGTTATTATTTCAGTTACCTCAAAATAATGTTAATTTTTCGTACATTTAAT